ATTAAAAATTACTTTGTAAATGCATTGTAAACCAATGAATCGATTCTTATTGCGAAACATTTTTGTAAATGCATTGAAAACCAATTAATCCATTCTGGAGGTCAGAAAAACTTAAAAAAAAAGTCTCATCTGTTCAAAGTTCTTTATAAAGTGCACTTTAAAGGCATAGTACTGTACAGGAACATGCTAAAAAAAATTGTAAAGGCATTGAAAACCAATTAATCTGTCCATATTGCGAAAAAAATTTGTAAACCGAGGCATTATTTTCAATGGATTTTCATTCGTAAACCGAAAATTACGTTAACCAAGGCGTTCATAAATCAAGGTACGCCTGTAATTGAATGTCCATTGCAAGGACACAATTCTACTAGTGCCCTTACTGACCACTGTAACTGCAGAAACTGTATAGTAATTCATCCTGAAAGATCACAACAGTTGCTTCAGTGAGTTTCTAACAAAAGAGTAAGGGAGCTGTGATTTCAGCTCCCCTGTTGTAAAGTTTTAGCCTGGGTTCACACATATGCGATGCGGTATATCACACCGCACAGCATTCCTGTGCAAATCACATGCGGTTTCTGTGCGGTGCGATTGGAGCCATACATTTTGTATGGCTCTAATCGCACTGCACCTGCACCAAAAAGGTGCAAGACCCTTTTTTGTGTCTGCAGTAGAATAGGATCGCATGGGTATTCACACCTATGCAATCCGATTATGTACATCGCACCACATTTTGCGGACCGCTTTTTGGGGTGGCAGCTTAACATACACACTCACAGCGGTTCAAATGAACAGGGTGCGATTCTGATGTGGTGCAGAATTCGCACAGAAAACGCTGCGAATTCTGCACCACATCAGTGTGAACCAGGGCTGAAGATTAATTCTTCCAAATGCCTAGAGCTACAGAGGCCAGTGAGTACTTATTTTAAAGTGCTTTTACTGCTCCTTCAGAAAATTTTACTATTTGAATGTGCACAGGGGCGGACTGACCATTTGGAAACTCGGGCACTGCCTGAGGGCCCGGGGTCAGTAGGGGGCCCCATGAGATGCCCCTGGTACCTTTTTCATAGGCTTTTTTGAGTTTGGGCAAGGACACAGGGGCCCCATGATCTCCTATTGCCCGTGGGCCCCATGAGTTGTCAGTCCGCCCCTGAATGTGCATTAAGCTCATTTTAGTTAACACATGCCTTGAATCTAAAAAAGAACAATTAAAAGTCTGTAGACTGAAACACTGAAACTTGAAGTTTTAAAATGTACAACTACCAATGAACAGGGCGGTGTTGATAAAGTGTCAGCAGGCACAAAATGTGTGTCTCCTGTCCCCATTCTCTTTGTTCTTCACCTCTCTGTGATTTCCAGAATCGAGTACTGTGCTACACATTTACAAATGTTGTGAATACCTAAATGTTAATTGGAGTAAGAGACAGCTGTGTAGATCTGAAATTTAGCAGTGCGCTTAGTTACCTCTATAAGGCCTCATTCACAGGGGCAAAAATGCTGTGTAAAGATGTGCAGTGCATCTTATTCTGTGCACATCTGTACGCAGCAGTATGTACATGTATGTGCCCATTCATACAGCCACACTGGGTGGCATAATGTACTGCTGCATTCAGGAAAAAAAGGACATGTCTGAGACTGTATTTTGGGCCATACTTAATGCTGTATGCATGGAAATGTTTACACTAATGATTACATATGTACCAGCAAGCGTACAGTGCCTATTGGACACCTTCTGGCATGTACATATCCAACAATGTGTAGTCAGCGGTGCCTATGCCTTCTTGACATTTTGATGTTGGCTCTGAATACCTATCTACATCCTAGCAAGCAAGAACACTGGACAGCAAAAATCACCTGCGTCCTAGCAACCAAGGATGCTAGGCGGCAATGGCCACCTGTGTTCTAGCAACCAATGACCACTAGTTGACATCTAAATACAACAGTGTGTAGTGGCATTTGGTCATGTGGTTTTTGTTGAAGGGGAAATCATAGTTCAGAATGTCAGATAATCCCCTTCAACAGAAATCATGTCACCGGGAGTCTAGACCTTCAAACATATGGTTAGCAATGAATTGATCTGCAATACAATTTTCTTCAGGAAAGTTAAGCTTTTCTATTTGTACATAGCTGTCACCCAAAGTTATCATTTGGGCTTATCCAAGGCAGTATAAAACACAATACCTGCACTTAGATGTAACCACACTCTAAAATCAGAAATACAGTAAAAACAAAAAAGCAGCTTGCACATAAAAGACGATATTGAAAATGTAAAAAAAAAAAAAAATGAAGTGCTAACTAAAAAGCATACAAATGTCAGAAATAAAAGTCTATATAAGTCCTCAAATGAATGAAACAAATTGCAAGAGAAGATTCTGATCTGATGAGCCATCACCATACACCTGAAAAAATGAGCCCCTTACCAGACACTTTGAACGTATAACACCGGTCAATAGGCGCAGTGTGATAAGGAATCAGTATAGCAGGTACTCTTCAATAAAAATCCTCTCCCAGATATAGGATGGTTCGTCCGCTTTAAAGACCTCCAAAATTTGAAGAAACTCCCATCCGATATTCAAATAAAGAATGAAGAACAAAAGCAACTCATAGTGCAGTACTTCATTAAAGTTTTAGCAGATTTTTTACAGGATCCACGTACATCAAGAATTTAAAATAACCAGCATTGAATTGAAATAGTTTCAAACCAAAAATATGGCAACCATCACTCCAGAACGCGGTGACGTCACATGCCGAGGCTCCACCCGACGCATATCCAAGGCAGTATTTCGGGCCGCACGAACGCACTTTACAGAGGAGCTTTGATGAGGCAGTGCGGCTTCCACATATATTTGCAAATGGTGTCATCAGCACCAGTGGAGTCATTTCTTATAGACTTTTATGGGGTCTTATTTCAGCAGAGGATGTTATGTGCAATTAAACCATGGCAACATCTAATGTTTGTGTAGTATTATGTTCAGCAGACTGTGTTCTTCTATTGTTGTGACTTAGATGATGTTCAGAGCACATTTTATGCCCAATTCATGCAAAACTCCACGTAATCTCAAGGGGTTCACATACTTTTTCTTGCAACTGTACTTGCCAGCTGCCAGACAGTTCCTGCCTACTAACCAGCCAGTTTCTGCTCACACTTGTCTGCTGACCAGTCATGCCTGCTCATCACTTGTCTGCTCCCAGTCAGTACATATTTATTCTGGCTTGCTGTCCAACTGGTCATCTGCTGCTGCCCAGCCAGTTAACCTGTCATGGTCTGCTGTTTGCCTTCTCCTGTTCTGTCCCAAACACCCTGCCCATCTCTGCTGCTAGCGAAAACCATCGGGTATTTGTGCCACTCCACACTCTTGTGCCATCTGTCCACTCTACCATGGGCCCCAAGCCAGAGGTGTAAGAAAAGCCTTCCTCGCCACATTGGGCTCATGCACCTGGTATGTGACATGGGGGCTAGGGTTTTATTTATCTAAGGCTGAACTTGTCATTTAAAGTGGACATATGGTTATAAGCAACTACCATTTGTCATCCTTAGTTGCAAATCAGACAGGAAATGCTCAGCCACAACTGCACATTATGGCTACAAAGGCTGAAGGAACGCATCAACTCACATTGCCACAAGACTTGGCAAAGCATCTGCTCTATGTGCGGGCCATTGCAGTGCCATTCATTGTGAAGCTCAAGCACCCAGAGCCCAAGTACAATGCACTACCATGCATTTATTGTGCGTTGTGGTGCGCTGTATTGTTAAAAAAAAAGGGCCATGCACATTTTTTCATTTGTGGTGGTAAGTTGGTAGGCCATTATTAATGAATATGCTGCCTTAATGTACATTAATGTGTGGCATGTTAACCCTTGTAAAGAAGTATGAATGGGCCCTAAGGCTAGGTTCATATCTGTGTAGGTGGTGCCGCTGGGGATTCGCATGAAAATCTGTGCAGCCGCACCACCCGCACAGAGGAATGCGGACCCGTGGGCGGGTGCCATTACTTATAATGCATTGCCGCCCGCACTGGAAAATGCAACCGTACTGGGAACCGAGGTTCCTGTGCGGGCTGCATTTTCAGAAGTGCAGGGACTTTTTCCCTGCGTATCACGGGGCACAGGAGTCCATTCAAATGAACAGGTTCTCATGCCCATGCAAAAAATGCGGCCCGCACGGCCACATAAATATGAATCAGGGGTAATAGTTTGTCAGATATACAAGGTGTGTTCACATGTGATGAGCTATGATAGCAGGGATAAGATCACATTCATAGAGAGCTCGCCTGGGATTCTTGCCTGAGGCCGCTCATATACGGAACAATGAGGTTTATTTACTAAAACTGGACAGTGCAAAATCTGGTGTAGCTCTGCATAGAAACCAATCAGCTCCCAGTTTTTTTTTTTGTCAAAGCCTAATTAACACACTGAAGTTAGAAGCTGATTGGCTACCATGCACAGCTTCACCAGATTTTGCATTCTCCAGTTTTAGTAAATCGACCACAAGGTCTACTTTAATTTGAAGATTCACTGGGGCTCATTTACCAATAAAGTAAAGGCTGTTCACTTTGCAAAGTGTTTCTTAGTAAATAAGGTGAATCTGTGTCAAATTTGATTATCCAAACAGGTGTGAAGGGAAAAAAAAAAACATAATTTTGGTAGAACATGATTGGTTGTTTAACCATCTCCCACCCGCCATTTGAGGCAATGACGGGCACAAGGTGGTTCTCTCGTTCTGGGAGGACGTCATATGATGTTCTCCCATTCTAACCGCGCATGCGCGGCTCCGGGATTGCGCAGTGTGGTGATCGGTGGTGCGCTGTGTCCCTCGGACACAGCGGATCACCGATCAACGGAAAGAGCCGAAGATTGCGGCTCGGTCATGTGATCAGCTGTGTCCAATCACAGCTGATCTCATGTAAATAGGGAAATGCCGGTTATTGGTATTTCTCTCCTCACGAGCTGTCACGCTAACAGCTCGAGAGGAGAGGAGAGCCGGTAATTGGCATTCCTCAGAGGGGACATGTACACTGATCATCCAGGCACTGATGATCAGTGTGCCCTGATGATCAGTGTAGCCCCAGCAATGCCACCTGTCAGTGTCCATCAATGCCAGCTGTCAGTGCTCATCAGTGCCACCTACCAGTGCCCATCAGTGCCACATCAATGCCACACATTAGTGCCTAATAGTGCACATCATTGTCACATATCAGTGCTCATCTGAGCTGCCTTTCAGTGCCACCTATCAATGCCAGTCAGTGCCACCTATCAGTGCTGCCAATCAGTGCCAGTCAGTGCCGCCTATCAGTGCCCGTCAGTGCTGCCTATCAGTGCCACCTAACAGTGCCAGTCAGTGCCGCCTATCAGTGCCAGTCAGTGCAGCCTATCAGTGCCAGTCAGTACTGCCTATCAGTGCCAGTCAGTGCCGCCTATCAGTGCCAGTCAGTGCCTCCTATCAGTGCCACCTATCAGTGCCCGTCAGTGCTGCCTATCAGTGCCGCCTATCAGTGCCAGTCAGTGCCGCCTATCAGTGCCAGTCAGTGCCGCCTATCAGTGCCAGTCAGTGCCGCCTATCAGTGCCATATATGAGTGCTGCCTTTCAGTGCCCATCAGTGATGCCAGTCAATGCCCATCAGTGCCACCTACCAGTGCCTCCTCATCAGTGTCCATCAGTGCCACCTATCAGTGCCCATCACTGCAGCCTCATTAGTGCATATCAGTGAAGGAGAAAAATCACTTATTTACAAAATTTTAAAACAAAAACTAAGAAAAAACTATTTTTTTTTCTAAATTTTCAGTTGTTTTAGGTTTGTTTAGCAAAATAAAAAGCCCAGAGGTGATTAAATACCACCAAAAGAAAGCTCTATCTGTGTCAAACAAATTCTAAAAATTTCATATGGGTACAGTGTTGCATGACCGCACAATTGTCATTCAAATTGCGACAGCACTGAAAGCTGAAAATTGGTCTAGGCAGGAAGGGGGTATAAGTGCCCAGTAGACTAGTGGTTAAAGTGAACGCAGTTTTCCTGTATTGGAAAAAAAAAGTGAACACAGTTTCAGTGAACAGCCTCAACTTCTTCAGTAAATTAACCCCACTGACTTTGCAGCTTTGGAATGATCAGCAGCAAATGAAAGATTGAAATTTACTGTTTACGTCCATTTCACACTTTTAAAGATGATCAGTCATTTTTAATAACTTGTTTTTTAAACCAAAGAAGATAACATTTCTATTGTGATTGTCCTTTACTCTGAACAATTGATAGAATTGATCATTTTTGTTAAATCAACATTGCCTTATCTACAAGATAGAAAATCATTTTGATTGACACTTCCCATTATTAGCTACAGATTATGCACCTAAAATGTTATTATTTATCTATTTGTTCATCATTTGTCTGATGGTATGGAATATCTCCTGCGCATGTCCAGCCTGGTCTAGTCCAATGTTTCTCAGTATTTTTTTTACTATGTACCCTACTGCAATTCTAAATAATTACCATATATCCAATTAGTGTTTCCCTACAAAACCTCAATGTATCGTGTTTCTAGTCTTTTATATGCATTTAAATAGCAAAAAACACTGTAACCTATTCTGCAAAATCACACGAATATTTCCGGTTTAATGTTACCCCTGAACATGCAGTAAACAAGGACCAGCAAAATTGAAACTTAATTTGCTGAAAATTTTATAACATTTTGCCATTAGGACAAAGTGCTTTGGAGAGTTGTAAGGCTAGCCATACACACATTTTTGTTTCGTTCAGCCTGTAAAAATTCAAAAAGATTCCTTCACCCATGCTATACAGCATGAATGGATGAATCTCCCACTGCAGCTACTGTATTCTGACAGCCAATGCAGCTGGCTTTCAGAATACCTGAACAGAGGCTGCATCTGACCAGATGCAGCCATTGCTTGCCTGACAATTTTCCACCCAGCTCCTTCAATTTAGCAATTGAAGGGTGTCAGGTGGGACAGGGCTGACACAGCCACCCACTGAAATGTGAACTGCAGCTAGTTCATAGGGTACTGGGCAAAATTCGAACAGTGTAGCAATTGGTCAGAACAGTGGGCAATGGAAATACAAATGTTCAAAAACACAAAATAGAAAAAAACTAAATTCAAAGAACATGTAATAGAAATTGTATCCTGTACTGCTCAAAAAAAATAACAATGAAATACACAAAAAGGAAAAAAAAAAAAATAAAGAACGGAAATGTAATCTTCTACTGTTCAAAAAGCAAATTAAAATCAAATCCACAAATAGAAGAAAAAAGAGAACTACAATAGAAATGTTACCTTCCACTGTTCAAAAACCAAATGGCAATCAAATACACAAAACAACAATCAAGTACGCAATAAGGAAAAACAAAGAACGACAATAACAATGTTACCTTCCACTGTTCAAAAACCAAATGGCAATCAAATACACAAAAAGAAATAAAACAAAAGAACTGCAATAGAAAATGTATTTTCTACTGTGCAAAAACAAAATGGCAATCAAATACACAAAGAGAAAAAAACAAAAAAAGACAATAAAAATTTTATTTTCTACTGTTCAAAAACCAAATATCAATCAGATACACAAAAAAATAAAAAAAAGAACTAAAATAGAAACTTTATTTACTTTTAAAAAAATGTTAAAAAAACAAGAAAATTATTTGAAATAAGGTAAATTATCCAGTATACCCACGCAAAAAAAAAAAAAAAAAAAAGAAGCAGCAATTTGTTTTCAATCGCAAACCGAAGCAGTTCAATAAGCAAAATTGAGAGTTTGTGATTTGACAACATTTTTCTGACAGCAGCAAAATGAATTCTGCCCCATTAATTTTGCTCGTCCCTAATCACAAATACCAGTAGCCAGGGGCGGACTGACCATTTGAGCACTGAGGCACCGCCCGAGGGCCCGGGGTCAGTAGGGGGCCCCATGAAATGCCCCTGGCACCTTTTATAGGTTTTTTTGGGTGTGCTTTGAGTGTGGGAAAGGACACAGGGGCCCCATGATCCCCTATTGCCCGGGGGCCCCTTGAGTTGTCAGTCCGCCCCTGCCAGTAGCTGAGAAAAAGGGTCTAGACTGGCCTCATGTTTTCCCTCCTTCTAGGCAAGCTATAAAAACCATATGTTTGCTGATCTGACAGGGGCCACGCAAGGACTTAGCCGTCACACCCATACAACAACTGCCGGCAAGGGTGCCAGCTGCTTATGTGCAAATTCTGAATCACAACACAGATTAAGTGATGTTACAGCTTCATCCTCTCTGCAGTCCAACGTCCACACCTGTTGCCTTACCTCACTCAGCCGAGAGTGTCTGTGCTCCAATAATCCCAGGTCAGCCACTTCCTTGGCCGCTTCTTGTCTTTGTGGAGAAAAAAATCAATGGCAGCAAAGCTTGCACCTGCTGCATAGCCACTCTGACAGCAACTGAATGGCCGGGACAGCTGTCAGCACAGCATGCAACTACCTGCAACGGCCCTGCTTTTCCAAAAAGGACTTTCTCTCCCTCCTTCCTCTCCTCGTAGCCCCCTTTCCCTATCCTTCCAGTAGAGTTTAGTATGTTGTCATTGCTTCAGAGAGGAGAAAAAAAAAAACCCGTCTGTCAAGCTCCTTAAAAAACAAAGTGACAAACCGCGGGAGTTCAAGGCTTTTAATTCACTAGTCCCGGTGAACCTAAAATACAAACAGACTTACTTCACTGGGCAAGAATGTTTTCTGCATGACCCAATCAGTGCCTGAGCCTATTCCAGCTCGCTGGCAAAGATAGTCACTTGTACTCAGCAGAACTGTCTGGGGCTGCTGTCAGCCAGAGGTGACATGGCCAAAAGATTGCAGGCAGGTTATCAAAAAAGGGCCAAGTGCCAGCTAAGTTAGCTATTGAAAAAACTTTTCACTATGAGGCCAAAGATAGGGACAATTAAGAGGTAATAGACACTATATTGCCAAAAGTATTGGGACATCCCTCCAAATCATTGGATTCAGGTGTTTCAATCACCTCCATGGCCACATGTAAAAGATAAAATCAAGCACCTAGGCATGCAGACTGCTTCTACAAACATTTGTTGAAGAATGGGTCGCTCTCAGGAGCTCAGTGAATTCAAGCGTGGTACAATGATAGGTTGCCACCTGTGCAATAAGTCCATCTGTGAAATTCCCTGGCTACTAAATATTCCACGGTCAACTGTTAGTGGTATTATAACAAAGTGGAAGCAACTGGGAACAACAGCAACTCCACCACGAATTGGTAGGCCACGTAAAATGACAGAGCGGGGTTAATGCATGCTGTCTGCAGAGTCAATAGCTAGAGACCTCCAATCTTCATGTGACTTTCAGATTAGCACAACAGTGTGTAGAGAGCTTCATAGAGTGGGTTTCCATGGCCGAACAGCTGCATCCAAGCCTTACATCATCAAACACAATGCAAAGTATCAATTGCAGTGGTGTAAAACACGCTGCCACTGGACACTAGAGCAGCAAAGACATGTTCTCTGTAGTGATGAATCACGCTTTTCTGTCCGGCAATCCGATGGACATGTCTGGGTTTGGTGGTTGCCAGGAGAACGGTACTTGCCTGACTGCATTGTGCCAAGTGTAAAGTTTGGTGGAGGGGGGATTATGGTGTGGGATTGTTTTTAAGGGGTTAGGCTTGACCCCTTAGTTCCAGTGAAGGGAACTCTTAAGGCGGCAGCATACCAAGACATTTTGGACAATTTCATGCTTCCAACTTTGTGGGAACAGTTTGGGGATGGCCCCTTCCTGTTCCAACATGACTGCGCACCAGTGCAGAAAACAAGGTCCATAAAGACATGGATGAGCGAGTTTGGGGTGGAGGAACATGACTGCCCTGCACAGAGTCCTGACCTCAACCCAATATAACACCTTTGGGATGAATTAGAGCAGGGACTGCAAGCTGGGCCTTCTCATCCGACATTAGTGCCTGACCTCACAAATGTGCTTCTGGAAGAATGGTCAAACCTTCCCATAGACACACTCCTAAACCTTGTGGACAGCCTTCCCAGAAGAGTTGAAGCTGTTATAGCTGCAAAGGGTGGGCCAACTCACTATTGAACCCTACGGACTGAGACTGGGAAGCCATTAAAGTTCATGTGCGTGTAAAGGCAGGCGTCCCAATACTTTGGCAATATAGTGTATGTGATCAGGTTATAAAGAATCTGGTGTATAAGGATTCTTCTGAATTCAGAACTTATTTCTCTAAATCATCGGTTTCCAAAGTATGGCACACTGCTAGAAGGGAACACTCTGATGGGGACTCCCATGTAAAGTGGCACTTTGATGGGGTGATTCTGATCAGAAACTCTTCACTATAAGGCCAAAAAGATACTAAATATTACAAATAATCAAATTAAAAGGAACATGGCATGGCATATTCTTCTAAATTTAGAGCTCATTACTGTAAATTAGGGGTCTCCAAAATATTCTATCCAGCTCTTTGATGTAAGAGGAGACCCTAATGAGCACTTTCATGTAAGGGGCCCTCTATGGAGACTCTCATGTAAGGAGGAAGCTGATGGGGGCTATCATGCAAGGGGG